GGAGGTAGTAGTCACTGCCATCCAAGAGACCATTAGTTTTCCCAAGCTTTCCATTGTCCCTGTAAAGAGAGGATACCTGGGTAGCAAGTCTGGCGAGTCCCACACCCTGCGGCTCTGTGCTGGTACCCCTCATCCCTGGCCCCAGAGGTACTGAAATCGTCTTTGCTCTGTTCCCCAAAAGCTGCTGGTTAGCCAGTACTGATTCACCTTCACCCTGGGCAACTTCACCAAGGCCATCTTTGACACATCTCCCAGACCCACAACTACTCCACCCTGACCTCTGGAAAGAGACTGTCTACCAAGTTTCCCTATCAGGAATTCACTGACCGGCTGGTGAAGATTCACACCAGAGTGGTTTTTTTTTTTTTGTTTGTTTTTTTTTTTTCAGAAGATCCAGGCTCCTGCTGGGGCCACAACACTTATACCAGAAAAGTAAAATCAATTAATTCTGTTTTTAAAACGTAACAAAAACCTAAAAAAGGGTAGGTTAAAAGCACATAATAGATGTCAAATTTTTAAGAATAATGTAGTTGAACATTGGTGCTATAAATAGATAATGAATGATAATGAGTGGATGTGACTATTTTAAGACATATGGCAGAGAAGAAACGGGTACATGGGAATAACACAACCTTAGAAGACAGAGGTAAGGATACATTTTAATCTCTCTTGCCTTTTTTGTCTTCCCTTATCTTTTCTCTTTCTTTCTTTCTTTCTTTCTTTCTTTCTTTCTTTCTTTTTTTTTTTTTTTTTCAGTGCTGGGGATTAAACCCAGAGCCCCACACAGGCTAGATAAGTGTTATACTATTGATCTACATTCTTGTGGTAATTCAAATAAGAATGGCCACCAAGTTTAGGAGATGTGGCCTTGTTGGAGTAAGTTTGTCACTGGGAATGAACTTTAGGGTCTCTCTGCCTTTGAGCTGTTTTATTTTTGGCACAGAAGCTGCACCTGAATCTTTAATTACTGCTCCATGGTTACTGGCCCACTTCTTCCTCGGCGGCCCAGTGAGACGTTTACATACTGCTGGATCTGCCTCCTGCCATCAAATACAGCTTTAACTAAAACTCATTATTCTATTTATCAATAAGATTAGGCAGTCAGAGGTTGGGGTACAAACCTGCTAGATCAGAAAGGTTGAGGAGCAACTAGCTGATCTTCCCTCTTCGCTGATGTCTCTGAAAAAGAGCATCCTTCTGTTCTTTCAAACCAAAATTGACTTCCCCACTCGAAGCCCCTCCCTACTACTTCCTATGCATCTCTCTGTCTTCCAGACTCCCTCTGACTCTCTATGACTAGTTTCTGTCACAAAGTTGCTAGGTCCTTTTCCTGACCCAAGGTTGATTTTATTTATTAAGAAGGAAGATTTATTTCAGTGCATGGATTAAGAGATTTCAGTCCACGGTCCTTGGGTCCATTGACCCTGGATTCACGTCACTTTGCCTGGCTTTCTGCCTGGGTTTGTTGGGCAATGGTTTTTGCCCACTAAGCAATCGCCCTGTTCCCTCTTTTGTTTGATTGGTTGTTTGTGACAGAGTCTCAATGGGTAGCCCAGTGGCTGGTCTCTGACTCATGGTCCCCCTCCTCAGCCTCTTGAGTACAGAGATCAGAGGGCATGCTGCCACGCCGAATACAAACCTTTTCATTAGAACAAGAGATGATACACGGTTAAGATGTCTTTCAAGATAGAAGTGCATGACTGGAGTCAAGAAAATGTGCTCAAAGCCTGAAGGGTTTCTGTGATAAGAAGTAGCCAGGAGAGAAGGGAGCAGGATCTAAGACAGAGTGAACTGGAAAGAGAGGAGACCACAGCTGAGTTCTGGGTCCCAGATGGACAGGTGGATGGATAAAAGACAAAAATGTTGAGACTCAGGAGTTCAAGGTCATCCATAACTACATAGTGAATTGGAAGCTTTTTGAGACCCTGTCTCAAAACAGAAACAAATCAAAGCAAAAAAAAAAAAAAAAAAATGCTGAGTTTGGCTCTAATGAGGTGGGAAGCCTTGATCCCCAAACTACAAACACCTTTCCTCGTTTTTCTCACAGACAAACTCCATTGGGTGCTGGGAGCCAAACAAATACAATAATAATTGGTAAATGGTATCTTTCACTGAAGTTTTTTTTAAATGTATAGATATAGGGCTGTTAAGATGACTTGGGGATAAAAATAATAGTAATAAACTACTTTTTTAAACTGACAATCCTCATTCATTCCCCAGGGTAGATAGTAGAAGGAGAGAGAGAACCCTAAAAGTTGTTCTCTGATCTTCACAGAAGTGCCATGGCATACACACACAACCCCTTCCACACAAGTAATAATAATAATAAATAAATGATTTTTAAAATGTGAGGCATAGATAGACTTTGTAAAGCCCAGCCTCTTTCAGTGAGAAAGAGTATAGAGAGTTGGAAAAGAAGTAGACAGAGTACAGACAGTCATAGATTAAAAAGAGTAAAGGAAAATAAGCCACATAAAGATGGAAAATTCACAAAGAGTCTGGACTATGTATATTATTGTGTTTTCTTTGAATTTTTTGACTGTAAATGAGTTAAGTACAGATAGACATTTCATTGTACGAGCTGCTAAACTAAACCAAAAAATATACTTTAAAGGTATCGTGACTTCAGAATTTGAGTCTAAGGATATGTTGCTTTGGAAAAGAGGTTCTTCTTTTGTTTCCACAGAGGATGAGAACCTGTGAAATCCTTCCAGACTAATGTTGTCTGATGGACCAAAACCCCCTGAAAGATTGCCTTGAGCACCCCCTCAAAAAATTACTTTGCCCAATAAATAGCAGGAAGCAGTTTGGAGACAACTATACCCATATTCCAAAATATTGTTTATAAATGTTTGTTTACATTTAAAGGGGGATATACTATAGAGATTTGCACTGGTATGAATCTTGGTCTATTGATACAAATTTAAGGTCAGTTTTTTTATACTGTGTATATGTATTTCTAAACTTGATTAAGGTATTGTGTTTGTGCAGCTCACTTAAAAATGTAATGTATAACTAAGAAATATAGGTCAATAGATAGTCATCTATAGTAGTCAAGCTTGTAGTCAGGTTAGTTTGGCTTTCTAGATGTACAGATATATATTTCAGATGGATAGTTATTCTTTTTTTTTTTTTTTTTTTTTGATTTTCGAGACAGGGTTTCTCCATAGCTTTTTGGTTCTTGTTCTGTAACTAGCTCTTGTAGACCAGGCTTGCCTCGAACTCACAGAGATCCGCCTGCCTCTGCCTCCCGAGTGCTGGGATTAAAGGTGTGCGCCACCACCACCCAGCTGATAGTTATTCTTCAAATATCTCAAAGACTAACATAATATGTCATTTAAAATGTTTAAGAACTTAGGATTTTTCATGACAGTGAGACACATCTGCTCCTGACAGCACCGATCTACTTCAAGAGGAAGATGGGCATTGAAGAGGCTCCTTATGGAGTCGGTTAGCCATTTGGGCAAGAAATTGCTCTTGCCTAGACTGCTTGATAGTATGCTGTGTGAACTGGACATGCAGGACCCACAGAGCAATGACTGTTTAACTTGCCTAAAGGTGAGATGGTCCTTTGAGGTTCCTGCTTCATGAAAGAGTCTTCTAGACATTCTGCAGAATACAGAAAAAAGTGACTGACAAGCTGCCAATATAGGTGGAACTATCTTTGAAATTTCCTGCTTCACGGAAAAGTCTGCTGAATACTATGGGCCTGTGGGCTGAAGGTGGATGCCCCAATGGTACAGAAGAACTTTGGATGACTGTCAGGCAGTGAGATGTCTCTGTCAATTCTAGAGTTTTGGAAGTTGCTTACAGTGCACTTCCTGTTTGCTTAGGTAATATCTTATCCTTCTGGAGTCTTTGATGGAGTTGAAAAGTAGATAGTAATGATATAGTTTTCCTTAGTTATAATAAAAATAAAGTAGATATAAATGTTGTAATTACAACTCTTTCTTGATAACTGTTTTGTTATATGTAATTTTACTATGTTAAAGTTAAAACCTTTCTTTTCATTTAAAAAGAAAAGGGGAGGTGATGTGGGATTCCCCTCTGTATGCTGTGAATACCATTGATGAATAAATAAACTGCCTTGGCCTGTTGATTGGGCAGAACTTAGGTAGGCAGGGAAAACTAAGCTGAATGCTGGGAGAAAGGAAGCAGAGTCAGAGAGAAGCCATGTAGCCCCACAGGAGACAGACGCCAGAACCTTAGCTGGTAAGCCACAGCCACATGGCAATACATAGATTCATAGAAATGGGTTAAATTAATATGTAAGAGTTAGCCAATAAGAAGCTAGAGCTAATAGGCCAAGCAGTGGTTTAATTAGTATAGTTTCTATGTGATTATTATGAGGCTGAGCAGCCAGGAACAAACAAGAGACCTCTCACTATACTCAGGGACTGCTGTATGCCATGACAGTCTTTGGAGAGGAAGGCAGGCAAATGACTAAGCTGGTCTGAGAGGCCTTATTACACAAGCTGGTAAGCTGGTCTGTGCAACCCTATCACACAAGCTGGTGAGGTGGTCTGAGCAACCCTATTACACAAGCTGGTGAGGTGGTATAACCCAAAAGACAGCACACTGAATTTCATAGCTGTTGAGGCTGTTTTCAAACTTACTGTGTAGCTCAAGCTGACTTCAAACTTGTCATTCTCCTGCCTCTACCACACAATTACTAGGAGTCCAGGAATGCCCACCTTACCTTACCTGAATCTTCGATTTCTAGATTCTTGATTTTGAAGGTTTTGGGTTTTTTTTTTTATAGCCTAGGTCTCACTCTATGGTCCTAGGCTGGCCTCAGTCTTGCTATGTAGACAAGGCTGGCCTTGAACTCACAGAGATCTGGTGCCCCTGCCTCCCAAGTTTTAAGATTACAGGAATGTACAACCATGCCTGGCTCAATTTCTAGATTCTCTCTGTTTTCCTGGGAGTTCTGGGCACTGAACCTAGGGCCTCACGTATATAGCTAGTACACGACCCAGGAGAGACAGCCTCAGCTTGATTTCCTGATTCTCCATGGCAGCCACTTTTATTGCATCATCAGTGCTTGCCATCCAAACAGTACACATACAAGCAGTCATTTTATTCATCTCCAACTCCCAGGTCACATCCTTGTATCCCAAATGATGGGGGGTGGGATCCTTTGGTAATGGCATCTTTGAAAAACAAGTGTAAAAAGGGTAGCCTGGCGTTGGTTTCTTCTCAGAATCCTCAGACAGGGCGGAAGTCCCTGAAACAAAGATTATATTTTATCCTCAGTAGCAATTAACACTATTATTACTATAAACATTTAAAATTGTCTATTGGGATTCAGTTGAGCCATCATTTGGACCAAGAATCCAAATGAGGCACCTTTTCTTCAATAGTGTGCCTGACCTCAACCACTATGAAACAAGACCCCTTGGAACATTGAGCCCCAGTAAGTGTGACGGCGACAGCGATGCGTGTGACAAAATGGAGTCACCACACGTTCCAGATACACCTTACACTGACCGGTCCCTTCCCTCTTCCTACCTGCTTTCCACTAAAGGAAGCTGTTTTGGCCGTGGTGGTGCAGATTTTAGAGCTACAGTCTAGATTTATAGCCCAGGCTGGCCTTGAACTCAGGATCCTCTTGACTCAGCCTGCTGAGTGTTGGGGTTTCAAGCATGTATCACCATGCCTGGATTCAGATTATCTTGTCCTCTCATTTTAAGATAAGCTAATAAGTTAAATAACTAAAATGCAGTATAAATGATAAAAAAAAATGCAACCAGGGCATATGGGGAAATCCTCAGAAGAGAAGCACAAAGGAGGCCACATCTTTCTGTAAACTTATGTAGACTTCTGAGAAAGGGGGGGGGGGGAGTGGCACACTCCTTAGTCTCAGCACTAAGAGGAAGAGAAACAAACAGGTCTGTTTTTGTGAGTTCCAAGCCAGCCAAGGTTATATAGTGAGACCCTGTCTCAAAGACAGAAAGAAAGAAAGAAAGAAAGAAAGAAAGAAAGAAAGAAAGAAAGAAAGAAAGAAAGAAAGAAAGAAAGAAAGAAGAGGAAGGGAGGGAGGGAGGGAGGGAGGGAGGGAGGGAGGGAGGGAAAAACACTTATAAGAGGATCTGGAGAGATACCCCAGCAGTTAGGGTGCTGTGGTGGTTTGGATGAAACATCCACACAGGCCTGAGTATTTTATCACTTGATGTCTGGTGGTGGCATGGTTTGGGAATTGATGAACTTTTAGAACATGAAGCCTTGCTAGAGGAAATATATCACTGGGGGCAGGCTTGAGAGGTTATAGTTGTCCCCTTAGTCCCAGCTCTCTCTCTCTCTCTCTCTCTCTCTCTCTCTCTCTCTCTCTCTCTCTCTCTCTTTTCTTCTTCTTGGGCTTTCACAAGTCCAGCTCAGCTTTCTTTGCCTGCTCCCATGCCTCCCTGATGTTATGTAGACTCTCCCCCTGGGAGCTGTAAGCCCAAGGAAACCCTTCTTTCTATCATCAGCTTGGTCATGTGATGTGGGATTTCCCTTTGTATGCTGTGATTACCATTGGTTAATAAAGAAACTGCCTTGGGCCTGTGCAGGGAACAGAGGTAGGTGGGGAAAACTAAACTGAATGCTGGGAGGAAGAAGGCAGAGTCAGAGAGAAGCCATGTAGCCTGCCTGAGACAGACACTGGAAAATTAAGCTGGTAAGCCATAGCTACATGGCGATACACAGATTACTAGAAATGAGTTAAATTAATATGTAAGAGTTAGCCAATAAGAAGCTAGAGCTAATGGGCCAAGCAGTGATTTAATTAATACAGTTTCTGTGTGATTATTTCAGGGCTAAGTGTCCAGGAACAAACGAGCAGCCTCCTTACTACAGTCATGAGGTTTATCACAGCAACAGTGAAGGAAAGGATACAAGCGCAGACTGTGCTCATAGAGGACCCAGAGTTCAGTTCCCAGCACCCATGTCAGGGGGCTTGCAAACTGTGGAGACAGCAAAGCATAGCCCTCTTCCACATGTGGTTCCTGAGATGCAGGAAGCAATTCCCTCCAGGCAACCCAGTGGCAGCTAACTGAGCGTGTTACTTGAGGACCAAGGAGAAAACACCTATGTGCCCCAGGACTGCTTCTATGGAGTCTGTATACACATTTGGCAATGTTACAGCTGATTCTGATTACAGCAATTCTATTAGTGTACTTGTTCTTCACTTTCTTTTTCTCTTTCCACACCAGTGGCTTCTGAAAATATGGATGTGCTGTATGATAATATGAGTCTTCCTGATCTGATAGAGCAAGCAGGCGCTGAAGCTGTAAAGCAGATTATGGGGGAAATCCTGACTGATGAAAGAATTGGGGAAATTTAGGAAAAATGCAGAAATTATTTTTTACCTGGATATAAAACTTGGCAAAAGAATTATACTGAACCAGAACAGAACTTGACTATGATGAATAAAGTTTCTGAAGAACCTAGGGCTTTGGGGCTGACTGCCTATGTTTTTTTGTTTTTTTTTTTTTGGTTTTTTTTGGTTTTTCGAGACAGGGTTTCTCTGTGGTTTTGAAGCCTGTCCTGGAACTAGCTCTTGTAGACCAGGCTGGTCTCGAACTCACAGAGATCTGCCTGCCTCTGCCTCCCAAGTGCTGGGATTAAAGGTGTGCGCCACCACCGCCTGGCTTCCCATGGTCTTATAAGTCAAAATTGGAATTGTGAGGAACAACAATGGGAAAGGTATGACAATGGAGTAAAACCCACTGAACTATGCTTCTGTAAACCGCAAGTAGTTTCCCTCTGAGGTGAAAGCCTCAGAAATTGTTTTATGATTAACTCAGCTAAGAATTAAGAATATAGTGGCTGGCATGGGGCTTGGGCACTGGGAAAATGTTATAATGAATGGTGATGTTCTGACTTCAAAGAATCTTTTTACTTCTTGTGAACTCCTTTGCTCAGGTAATGATTAACCTGTGGCAAGAAAACAGAATCATTTTCCTTGTGTAAAATTTGCAATAAAAGACTGAGATTTGAAGCTCAGGGCAGAAGAAGCTCAGGAAAAGGAGGAGGAGGAGGAGGAGAAGGAGGAGGAAGTAGAAGGTGGAGGAGGAAGAAGAAGAAGGAAGGAGGAGGAGGAGGAAGAGGAGGAGGAGGAGGAGGAAGAAGAAGAAGAAGAAGAAGAAGAAGAAGAAGAAGAAGAAGAAGAAGAAGAAGAAGAAGAAGAAGAAGAAGAAGAAGAAGAAGAAGAAGAAGAAGAAGAAGAAGAAGAAGAAGAAGAAGAAGCCCTGCAGCTGACAGCCTGTCAGCTTGCATCAGAATCCTGCATTTGTGTACTCTGTGTACTCATTTCGCCTTCCAGACATCCCAGATTCGAGACCCACTTCTCTGCTGAGGCTGGACCCCAGCAGCAACCACCACTGTCTCCATCTTCAGGGGACCCTCTGTGGGCACCTGAACTCTTGTAGCACCCATTCATAGAGTTCAGTTCCCAGCACTCACACCAGGGGGCGCACAAGCACCTCTATCTCCAGCTCCAGGGCGCCCTCTGCAGCATCCCTTTATAAAGACACAGAGATGCTTTAAAAGAGGAAGAGGAGGAGGAACTTACTAGGGAGTACAAGACTGTAATATAATCCCAGTACTCAGAAGGTGGGGACAGAAGGATCAGGAATTCGAGGTCATCCTCCACTACATAATAAATTCAAGAGCAGCTTAGACTATAGAAGACCCTATCTCAAAACAGAAAAAAGCAGAAAGCCAGAATCACTTACTAGAATGATGCAGAGGAGTTCCAGTATATACAGCCTCGTCCACACATTTGGGAACCTTGGCCAGTAAACTTCATTTGAAGGTGGGTAGTTGACAAAATTCTTCCAGCAGTAACAATACTCTAAAGAAACACAAAATTTGGTTCATCTAGCAAATGCAATGGTAAATTATTTAAAATTAGTTGGAGTCCGGGCGGTGGTGGCGCACATCTTTAATCCCAACACTCAGGAGGCAGAGGCAGATAGATCTCTGTGAGTTCAAGGCCAGCCCAGTCCACAGAACAAGTTCCAGGATAGCTAGAGCTGTTACACAGAGAAACCCTGTCTCGGAAAACAAACAAACAAACAAACAAACATATACATACATACATACATACTTACATACATACTTGGGCACATTTTCTCATGCCTGCAATTCAAGCTATTCAGAAGGCTGAAGCAGGAAAACTGAAAATTCAAGGTTAGCCTGTGGCGAGTGCAGGGTAGCAACAAAGTTTTTTTTGTTTTGTTTTGTTTTTTGTTTTCCGAGACAGGGTTTCTCTGTAGCTTTGGTGCCTGTCCCAGAACTAGCTCTTGTAGACCAGGTTGGCCTCAAACTCCCAGAGATCCGCCTGCCTCTGCCTCCCGAGTGCTGGGATTAAAGGCATGCACCACCACCGCCCGGCTCAGAGTAGCAATTTAAGGACCCTGTCTCGAATAAAAACTAAGGAGAGCAGGAATGTAGCTCAGTAGTGTATATAGAGCCTGCCTGCCTCCCATATATGCTTAGCACCTGCTTCAATTTCCAGCAGCAACAACCACCAAGCATAAACTCAAAGGCTTTGCGTATTTGTTCCTAGAAGGGGTCACACTCCCTAAAAGGAAGTTCATTTTAGGTGAGCTGGAGGCAGAGATACCTAGGAAAGGAGGGCTTTTGTTCATCAATCCCTTGCTGTGAAGGTCAGAACTGGTCCCTCCTCACATTATGTTGAACTTCCCCCTCGGGAATTCCATCCGAGCATCACCAACACCACTCCCTCGGGACCATTCTGTTCTTACCTTGCTCGGTCATGATCTGGACAGTCACACCTCTGCAAACGAGGTTCCTGAGTCCTTGCCGGTTCCCCGGATCCATGTGGTAATAAAGACGTGCTACATAAATAAACAGAGTCACATTGGGGTACTGACTCAAAAATTCTGTGATGGCCTTGGAGCACTCCCCACAGGGACTCCAGGACAGGAACCAGGTGATGGAGCACCGGGCGGATGGATGAAAGGATCTTTCTGAGGTGAGGTTTTCTATGAAATTGATTTCAACGTGTTTGTTGGTATTTCGGCTCGTGTGTCTCCAGATGCTGTGCCTTCTGCCCCAGCTGATCTCATAGAGCAGACAGGTCTCTTTCCGAAGCTCCCTGGGGTCGAAGAAGACTTCAAACTCCTGGGGTTCGATTCTTCTTCTGAAACACAAAAAGACTCCCATGCAGTCCAGGGGATCTAAGAAACTTTTTCCCCTCATGCTTTGTTGTTTTTAAACCAGACCTTACATATCCTAGGCTGGCCAGGAATTTGATATGGAGCCAGGGCTGACCTTGATTTCTGTTCTATTTATACTTTATTTATTTGTGTGTGTGTGTGCCGTACATATATGTTCGCGTGCATATGTCCACATGCACTTGCTCATATGTACACGTGCAGAGGTCAGAGGTCAGTGCTGAACATCTTCCTCTAACACTCTGAGTGTTACTTTGCTCCACAACAGAGAGCATCCTGGGAGTTTGATCCGTGGTGCGGACTGGACCCCTCCAGCCCCAGAGACGTTGCCTGAGATGCAGGAGGAGGAGGGTTTGCTTCCCTGACTTCACACACTGCTGAGTAGATTTTCCCATCTGTCTGGCCTGGGAGCTGGCTGGGGAAGGCTGAGAATGTGACCAACATAGGCCACGTACCGCGTATGGCCGAGGCTGCTCTCAGGCACTATCTAAAACTTCACAAGGACACCCCGTGGAAATGGGATTTGCGAGGGACAAAGCTTTGGGGATTTTCAGAACTACCATGTTTGCCAAGGAATCCAAAGGGCTCCTGGGAGTTCTAAAATGGGAACATGGAAATGACTGTCCTCCCCGAAATGCACGGCCTTAGAGGTGGCTTGCTAACACGCCAGTAAGTAGGGAAGGAACCCATTTCCAACCAAGCGAAGGGACCAGGGCAGGAGTTTACTGCTCCATGCTCCTACCGTGATTTCCAAGGCTTTCTATCACTGCATTTCGTTAATAATGAAATTATTATAAACTAATGAAATTATTGTAAACGCATTTAATCCCGACTCTGGAAGACTTTGTTTTGCTTCTTTTCTGCCTTTTTCTTCGGGACACTAGTTGGAGCCTAAGCACGCTTTCCCTAGCACAGCAGGCGTGGCTCTTCCTCTAAGGCTCCCATTTATGACATGTGGCTGCTTGTCCACCGTGGGGCTGATCTCCAGGCTGACTTAAATAGATAACTTTTCTCTTTCTTTCCCCTGTCTATGCTTCTGGGCAGCTGCTGGGATAAACATCTTGGTTGCCCTGTGGTTTTTCTTTTAATCTCTCACATAACTGTTCTTGTACTTTTTTCTTTTCTTTTTTTTTTTTGTTGTTTATTTATTTATTTATTTATTTTAGTTTCTTTTGGTTTGTTTTTTCTTTTGATTTTTGGTTTTTGTTTTGTATTGTATTGTCTTGGTTTTGAAGACAAGGTTTCTCTGTGTAGCTTTAGAGCCTGTCCTAGAACTAGCTCTTGTAGACCAGGCTGGTCTCGAACTCACAGACATCTGCCTGCCTCTGCCTCCCGAGTGCTAGGATTAAAGACGTGCGCCACCACCTCCCGGCTTCTTGTACTTCTTTCTAAACCCATTTTATTAACATGACTAAGGGTCCAATCCCAAGATGAGACCCAGATTTCCCCAGGAACATGTGGTGGCTCTGGACAGACTCCCCAGAATTTCCAGCAATGTTGTGGGGGATCCACCAGAGAAGACCAGGTCCAAGCCTTTAGGAAGTATTTCCTAGCCACTACACTGATGTATTCAGGATCCAAGCACAGTCCTGAGCCTTTCTCCGGGTGAGATTTCAAACACAACACCCACATCCTGTGTTGACATGCCTCGGTCAACAAGAACAGTCAGGCGGAAGGGGAAAAAAGCAGAAGCCAAAAAGCAAGGCTGGTGCATTAGCATCTTTCCCAGAACTGTGACTTCGATGGATTTGATCTTGGCTCCCTTTTTCACGGGTGTTGCTGCCTACTCGCTGGATTCCAGTGCTTGAATGTTACTTCCATCACGCTTCAGTTGTGCTAAGGTCGGGGGTGGGGGCGGGGGGGGGGCTGTTCCAGTTCATTTAAACAGAAGCAAAAAGATATAGGAGTTATTCCCAATCCCAGCGACCATTAGCGATTAAGCTGAGAAAGCGTGGAAATGCAAAACCAAACCAAACCTGTAGTTTCCCGCCCTCCATTGCCATCTGGACCACTTGAAGTCAGGACTCTGCATGAGAGCAGAACCTCAGATCCCCCAAGGATGTGTCAGCAGAACCAGAACAAGTCAATTAACAACAGCAACAGAAGTCCGGGAGCGGGAGAGAAGGCACTTTCAGAGGACCCGGGTTCAGGTCCCACGTGGGGAGGCTCATGTTACCATCTGTAACTCCAGAGGGTCAGGCACCCTCTCCTGGCCTCAGCAGCAGCTGGCATTCATATGGTGATCAGAACATTCATGCACGGAAAATAGATAAAGCTAAGATAGGTAGATAAAGTCTGCTGAAGTCATTTCTAAGTGGTCTATAAAAATCCAGTTTTTCCGGGAAGTAGTGGCCCACACCTTTAATCCCAGCACTCGGGGAGGCAGAGGCAAGTGGATCTCTATGAGTTCGAGGCCAGCCTGGTCTACTGAGCTAGTTCCAGGACAGCTAGGACTGTTACACAGAGAAATCCTGTTTTGAAAAACAAAAAACACAGTTTTTCAGAGACCAAAAACTGATCGATTCTTTTTCTGAAAGAGCCTTCAATAAGAAGCAGCAGAAACTGCTCAAAACCACAGGTAGGAAAACAGAAATATCAACCCTTACCCCTGACCTCTCTGAATACAGGCCATGGCAGACGTGGCACAGAGGCTCGAGTTCCCTTGAGGATGGCACATCCAGGAACCTGGAGCCTGTGGGGACCAGGAAAAAGCCAACACACACCCACATGATGGATAGTGGCCTTCTTGAAAAACATTCATCATGGAGTTAAGCCTTTGGATTTCACTCTGGCTTCTAGGGCAGCTTATGAAGATAGATAGATGGGAGATAGGTGGGTGGATGGATGGATGGATGGATGGATGGATGGATGGATGGGCAGACAGATAATACCTCTGCCAAGATTTTGCATAAGTCTTTGAAGAAGACCATGGCAGAGAGTGGACAGAGTATCCCATGTCAGATATCCAGTCAGATATCCAGAATAATGCTAATATAGAAAAATGTTATTTGAAAAGTTATATGGAATGAGCTGGGCAGGGAGGCGCATGCCTTTAAGCCCAGCACTCGGGAGGCAGGGGCAGGCAGTTGTCTGTGAGAATGGACAGATTCTAGGCACCAGGCACACAGCGCTGGTTTTTAAAACATCAACACTTGGACATTCATTCATGCTACAGCGAGAGTCTTATGGGTGTGTGACAAGGGGAAACCTAAAGCAAAGAAGATGTTCCTGGCCTGGCTTTTCAAACTTTTACCACTCACACACCCCTTTCACACAAGGAATTTCCTGTTTGTTTGTTTTATTAAGTGGGCCATAATGTTGGTGATTTCTAAGTTGCAAAACAAAATAAACTTAAAGGTAATGATGTAGCTGGTTAGACGGTTACAGATTCTTTTTTTTTTTTTTCTTTCGAGACAGGGTTTCTCTGTAGCTTTGGAGCCTGTCCTGGAACTAGCTCTTGTAGACCAGGCTGGCCTCGAACTCACAGAGATCCGCCTGCCTCTGCCTCCCGAGTGCTGGGATTAAAGGTGTGGGCCACCACTGCCGACTGAAAAACAGATTTTTAAAACACACAAAGGCAGATTAAATAAATAAGGAAAAGACAAATAATTAAAACATGCTCATATTTACTTCTGTGTGTCACCAGGAAACGTGATTTTCCACATGACAGAGGCATGATGACAAGATGACTTATCTCACTCCCTAAAGGCAGGGAGACAGGGGAGGGGGTGGGAGAAGGATGGGAGGGAGCTGGCTCCTCTGCCCTTGCTCAGAGACATCACTAAAATCCTTCTGATGAGAGCATGCAACTTCCCACTCAGCACCCATGAGCATGTCCTGTGAAAGCCAGATATCCAGAATAATGTTAATATAGAAAACATTATTTGAAAAATGATATGGAATGAGCTGGGCAGTGGCGGCGCACTCAAGAGGCAAGGACAGGCAGATATCTGTGAGTTTGAGGCCAACCTGGTCTATAGAGTGAATTCCAGGACAACCAAGGCTACACAGAGAAGCTCTATCTCAAAAAAAAAAATTAATTAATTAATTAATATTAAAGTATGTAAAAGAAAATAAACAAATAAACTCACATATATATATTCAAAAATCCTCTTATTTTCTTTTTACACTAAGTATAAATATTGTCCCCTTCACAAGTGCTGAGGTCCTTTTCTTACTATCTAATAAAGACAAGCAAATTCGCACACTAAAAAATAAACTATAGTTGTGTAATTCTTAAATGTTCATCTCTGTGTGATTGAATTGGGAGGCACTATGCACGTCTTACCTCAGAGTGGGGTCAACAACTGCAGGACCTGTGAACCAAGAGACAGACGGCTTTGTCAGATAACACTCAATCCGCATGGAGCTGCTATGGAAACGCGTTCTAGTCTCCCAAATCTACAACCATATTGGAGAAGCGAAGCCGGTACAGCACGCACCTCCCATCCCCACATACTAGACACTGTGGCAGGCGGATGCGGAGTTCAAGGCCTGCCTAGGCCACACTCTGATGTGACCTCAAAAAAAGCAATCTAATGGGGAAGTCACTTCTCAAGGGTCCCAGAGGTTCAATTTGGAAGTTATGGGATATAGATGATGCATCTCTTCCTCCAGACTCTGTCGCTCTCCTCAGAACATGTTGGTGAGCAATGCAGAGTACTGAATCCTGACTGATGAACTTTACGAAAGTCTTCTACAAGCATTTTCTATTTTCACCTCTATCTTTCTTTGACTTTGTTTTGGGGTAGTGTGCAAGCTGAACATACTTTATACATGATTAGAATCTATTTTCAGACTGGTTTTCTGATAAACACAGACAGATCCTATATCCATGAGAGCTGATCTCAGTTCTTACCACAATTGAGCTGAGGTGTCCCTACAGTGTGGCTGGTCAGTGGGTTATTTAAACAGTTGAGATGGGGTGTCCCTATAGGATTGCTGGTCAGTGGACTCTGCTCTTCTTCCTTTTTGGCCGTTTCTTGTTGGTGAATTGTATACTGTTTATTCTCCAGTTTTTCCAGAGATGGAGATTTTAAGGTCAAAAGTGGATTTACACAACACCATCATGGTTACATCTTCCACAGACAACTGTCCTTGGAAGAACTTTGCTTCCTCCCTATGTAAACTGTTGAGTACGGCGTTGTGGAATATTCCTTTACACTGCATGAAGATGTGTCACTGTGACTGGTTTAATAAAGAGCTGAATGACCACTAACTAGGTAGGAAGGGGCTAAGAGGGACTTCTGGGGACAGAAAGGGATCGGAGAGGAACCAGGATAGGCCATACAGAGTAAAGGCAACCTAGTCTCATAGAAGAATATAGATTTAGAATACAGGTTAATTTAAGTTATAAGAGCTAGTTAGAAACAAGCCTAAGCTATGGCTGAGCTTTCACAATTAATAAGACTCTGTGTCATTTTTTTGTGAGCTGGTGGCCCAAAATAAAAATCTGTCTACAGTAAGGTGCTTTTGCTTCTGACAAATTTGATCTTTTTCTTACAGCTTTTTTATGTGAGTTGCAATTATCAGAACCATTATCTCCCTGGCTGAAGCCTACAGAAGGAAGGGTTTATTCCTTCCCAGACAGCTCCACCATTGCCCTGGCTCATGGTCGCCCTGGCTCTACCGTTGCCCTGGGCACCGTTACTCTGGCTTGTGTTTTGTTTGCTTTTGAGAGTCAGTTTATAATAAAAAGATCACATAACCTTGTTTTTTCCACTCTTTTCTGTGTCCAGCCCCAAACCAATTAAATAGTAGGCAAATGTATCCAAAACACTGTTTTAGTCATCTCTGAGCTTCAGAAATCCTCAAGGTCATCCTCAGCTACTCAGTGTGTTCAAGGCCAGTCCCGGCTACTGGAGACCACGTCTTAACAATAAATATTTTTTTTAATCTCCAAAGATTTAAACCCTACCAAAGACAATAAGAAAAACAATTTCAGGCGTGGGCTCCAATTTCAGCTCTTCTGAGGTCACTTCCTTCCAAAGCCGGCACGTCTTCCGCCTGCAATTTTTCATCTACCACCTCGCAAAAGCTCAGATTACAGGCGTGAGCCACTGTGTCTGCTGTGTATGGTGCTGGGAGTGGAACCCAGGGTTTCCTGCATGTTAGTTAAATCTATGCCAACTGAGCTACATCCCCAGACCGTTTGCTTGTTGGTTGGTTGGTTGGTTGGTTGGTTGGTTGGTTTGGTTGGTTGGTTTGGTTGGTTGTTTGGTTGGTTGTTTGGTTGGTTGGTTGGTTGTTTGGTTGGTTGGTTGGTTGGTTGGTTGGTTGGTTGGTTGGTTTTGAGGGGGTGTCTCATACTGTAGCCTAGGCTCGTCTGAAGTGTATTATGTTGCCCAGGATAGCTTCAAATTTCCTGTAATCGCCTGTTTCAGTCTCTAGACTCCTGAGATCAGAGGTGGGAGTAACCACAGCTGGCTGACATTATTTACCACTGTCTAGTTAGCCAGCTAGCACACAAACCATTTGCTACTGCTTCTGTTTTTTCTTATTTAGCTTTAGTTTTACTTTTTCCAGGTTGAAGTGTGGGCAGCACTGAGGGATTTAACCCAGGGCCTCATATATTCTAGGCAAGCTCTCTACCATTAAGCTACACCATAACTCTTCTTAGCAAAAACAAAGCTTTTAAGTGTGTGTGTGTGTGTGTGTGTGTGTGTGTGTGTGTGTGTGCCTGTGGAGACCAAAGGAGGGCATTGGATTGGAACCCTTAGAGCTGAAGTTACAGGCAGTTGTGAGCAGCTTCATGTGGGCACTGGGAATCAAACAAGAACAACAATTTTTTTTTTTTGAGACAGAGTTTCTCTGTAGCTTTGGAGCCTGTCTTGGAACTAATTCTTGTAGACCAGACTGAGCCTCGAACTCACAGAGATCCGCCTGCCTCTGCCTCCCGAGTGCTGGGATTAAAAGTGTGCGCCACCACCACCCGGCTGAACAGCGAATATTCTTAACTGCTGAGCCATCCCCTCCAGCTCTCCCATCTTTTTTAAAAGCAGGTTCTTGCTAAATTACCCAGCATGGTCTTGAATTTTCCCTGTAGTGCACAAAGACCTTCAACGAGTAATTCTCCTGCCTCAGCCTCCCAAGTAGCTAGAATTATAAGGCTATATCACCAGACTCAACTAACTTAAATTTTTTATTACCATGAAACCAACATTGATTTAGGGTTACTTGTCAAAATCATTAGGAGCTATAAATACCCCATCAGAATAGTAATTCATCTTAAGAACAATATTAATGTATTAATCATAATAGGAAAGTTGGAAAGCACCTAGGGACCCAAGCATAAGCAGGTTACACGCATGTATAATTGATGCGCACTTGGCCAGACCATGGACTTAAGCTAAGCATGGCAACAGACACTTGCATTTCCATATACTCAAGAGGCTGAGGGAAGCAGGGGAATCATTGAGGCCAGGAGTTGGGGGTCAGTCTGGGGCAACATGACAAAAGTCTGCATAGAAAGAAGCAAAGTAAAGAGGAAAAAAATTTGCTGCACACTTTGCCAGGACCTGGCACCCCCTTTACCTGTCTCGGAGCTCATCTTGCTCTGTCTGGACTCCTTCCTCCCGAGCGTGTGTGGCGAGGATGACTTCTGCCAAGTGTGTGTCTGCGTTTTGTTTCCTCTGGAGTGCCACAGTCACCCGCGTAGACAGAGGATGACTAGTTCCTGAGTGGCAGCAGCTACTTGAGAGCTGTCCTATGTAAATGAAGAAGGAAGTGGCATCTGGATTTTCATCCTCCACAGGGAGGAACCCAAAGGCACAGGAATCGTCACTTCTGCAGAATAGAAACTGATAGTTTGAAATTTCATATGTTTAATAAATTTCAGATGTTTCCTGGTGATGTCTAAATTTACAAGGCTTTCTTCTTCGAGTTCAAGTAAGATTGGGAGAGAAGGCAGCGCAGAGGTCAGAGAAAATGAAACTGTTTCTTGGCGTGACCTGGCAAGAATATTGTGGTTTTCACCTATTACTTCCTCTCATTTGTCCTTTGTTCCATCTCTCTGTCAGAGAAGGGAGGGGCACCTAAGGGTGCAAAAGCGGCTGGACCTTGGTCTCTGAGTCAGATAACTAGTGTGCTGGTCTGGGGCTCTTGAAGGGAAGGTTAACTGGATGACTAAGTCCACTCTTGAAATTTTTAGCCCTAATTTAAAAAAAAAAAAAAAAGCTAATGTGCTATACATCTACAGCGATCACCTCTGCTGTCAGGGTCAAGTTCAGTTCTGGGAGTCAGCACCATTCCTCAGAATTGAGATCATTCTCTCAAGACCTATGTCTCCCACTGGGTCTTGTCTTAGTTTGGTTTCTCTTGCTATGATAAACACCAAGACCCAACACGACTCAGGGAGGAAAGGGTCTACTTGGCTTATACTTCCATGTCCCACACCATCGCTGAGGAAAACAGGGCAGGCTCTCAAGCAGGAACCTGGAGACAGGAGCTGATGGAGAGGCCATGGAGGAGTGCTGCTCACTGGCTCGCTCACCTTTGCCTGTTAAGCCTGCTTATACACCCCAGGGCCTCCTCCCCAGTGATGGTACTGCCCGCAGTGGACTGGGTCCTCTCACATCAATCATCAATTAAAAAAAAAAAAAAAACACCCACAGACATCCCTACAGGCCAATCTGACGGGGGTATTTCTTCCCTCTTCCCAGATGACTCTAGCTTGTGTTTTCCTCCTGTCCCAGACTTTGTAGTGGCATTTCATTTGTATTTTAATAAATAAAGCTTGCCTGAAGATCAGGGAGTAAAGCAGCCCCACTGGTCAGCCTTACAGACCAGGCAGTGGTACCCTAGGTTTGCCCACTTTTGTGACTTGGGGGCCATTGAGGATGAACCTCCATACACACATCCTTGATTACAGTTTTGGGCCTCAGCTCCCATTCTCCTGGTAAAACTAGCAAGGAAGGTATCACAAATGTCCCTCCTAGGTTGTAAAATATCATAGGAAGATGGAGTTTATCAAGGGGCTGTTAAAGAAAAGTTACTTCCTCCTGGTCAAAAGGATGAATGAAACCTGGGGACTGGAGAGGTGGTCCAGCGGATAAGAGCACTGGCTGTTCTTCCAGAGGACCTGGGTTCAATTCCCAGCACCCACATGGCAGCTCACAACTGTCTGTAACTTCAAGATTTGACACCCTCACACAGACATACAGGTACAATGCCAACATACATAAAATAAAAATAAATAAATTACTTTTAAAAAATGGTCTTCGAGGCCGGGCAGTCGTCGTGCGTGCCTTTAATCCCAGCCCTTGGAAGGCAGAGACAGGAGGATCTCTGTGAGTTCCAGGCCAGCCTGCTCTACAAAGTGAGTTCTGGGACACGTAGGACTGTTACACAGAGAAACCCTGTCTCGGAAAAAAAATAAAAATAAAAATAAAAATCAATAAAAAATAAATAAAAATGGCCTTCAAGGTCTTTCTGAATCCTATTTATTTGTTTATTCATTTAGTGTTTTGGGAATGGAGTCTCTATGTAGTTCTGGCTGTCCTGGAACTCGCTATGTACATCAGGCTAGGCTCAAACTCACAGAGATCCTCCTGCCTCTGACTCCAAGTATTGGGATTAAAGGCGTGCGCCACCACAGCCAGCTTTTAAATCCCTTTGAAATTTGTGTATTAGTGAGACTAAGAGCTCACAACAGGGAGCCCTGACTCTCCGGTAACATTCTCATTCTCTCTAAGTATGCCCCCCCCCCCCCCCCCCCCCATGCAGCTGCTCCCAGGCTCCACCTGCCTGCTAAGTTAGGAAGCAGGCCTAGAGAGGGTCCAGTGCCTAAGAGCACTTGGTTACCCCTCCAGAGGACCTGGATTCAGCTTCCGGTACCTACCAGGCCAGCAACAACCATGTGTGACTTTATTTCCAGGGGGATGCAATACCCTTTCCTGACCTGCATGAGCACCAGGCACACATGTGAGGGGCAGCGTGGGGTCAAGATAGGGTTTCTCTGTGTAGCCCTGGTTATCCTGGAACTCATTCTGTAGACCAGACTAGTCTTGAACTCAGAGATTTGCCTGCTTCTGCCTCCCAAGTACTGATATTAAAGGCATTCATCACCACTGCCTGGCAACATATGTATTTTTTTTTTTAAGAAATAAACAAAAAATTGGGGTTGGGGATGTAGCTCAGTGGTCGAGCACTTGTCTAGCAAGTGCAAGGCCCTGCGTTCTGTCCTCAGCAATGAAAAGAAAAGAAAACAAAAACAAAAACAAGGTAACTGGCTCACAGCCTCTGCCAGGTGGTGGTGGCACACAGCCTTTGCTTAGTGGCGGCGCACACCTTTAATCCCAGGACTTCAGAGGCAGAGGAAGGAGGACCTCAGTGAATTCGAGGCCAGCCTGGTCTACAAAAGAGAGTTCTAGGACAGCCAAGACTGTTACATAGAAAAAACCTGTCTCAAAAAATAAATAAATAAATGGACAAAAAATTAATTCAGAAGCATGAATATCTTATCCATATCTCTCTACCTGGCAGCTGCTGAGGTCTCTAGCTTGCCTAGGGTGTAGATTTTTCTCTTAAACTAATAAAATTATCCTCAAGTTTCCTGTTTGTATTTTTTCTAATTCTTTTATCTATGAGACTGCTGTTAAAAGGACCCTTGTCTTTCCAGTAACTCCATGAGTACCATCCGCAGTGCTTTCTTGGTGACGATGTAAAGCTCCCTTTTATCTAGTCTCTACACAGACCATCTTCCACGGTGGATGTTCATTGTCTTTCGCCTAGAAGCTCAGGACACACAGGAAACATCAAATTCCGGCCAATCCTCCTGTCTCAACCTTCAGTGGTGGAATAACTGGTGTGACCCCTAAACCTGAGGGACTTTTTTTTTTTTTTTTACTGATGCTTAGGCATTGTAAATAATGTCCCAAGTATCATCCTTATGCCTCCGTCTCTAGATAATCACTTCCTTAGGATAAAGTCCCAGAGAGGGGGCTACAATGCGGTGACTCTTTTTAAAGACAGAATTTCATTTACCCCAGGCTAGTGTCCCATTCACTCTATAGCCATAGTGCCCTAGAACTTCTGATCTTTCTGTTCTCCACCTCTGGAGTGCTGGCATTACAGCTGTGTGCCTCACACCTGGATCATGTGGTCTTGGAAATGGAACCCAGGTCTTCCTGTATGTTAGGCAAGCATACTATCAATGGAGCTATATCCCCGACTATTAAGACATATGTTAGCCAGGGCCTAAGCGACAGACAACACTCATGGCCGGCCCACCTGCCTTTAGGTCCTTCAGCTGTTATGGCCAGCTGAACCCAGAAAGCAAAGGTCTTTTTGGCACCAGAGACTCAGTCTTGAATATTGATCTCAAAACAAACAAAAACCCAGAATTTCAAACTCAGGAAATAGGTTGTTTCCGTCTAGGACAATATGGTCCAACAATCTGTGTACAAGCTTATGCCAGCTTAGGCGGGGCCTGCACTCCAGGGTCGGATGCTCCCCACCGCAGGAATGTGCCTGGTGACATCGGTGGCACCAGGAGCATGTGTATGTCGGGGCTTACACAGTCACAGCCTCGCAGAAACAAACAGCTTAAACAGAAGACACACGGGTTCAGCTGCTTCCAAAGGACAATCCTCAGGAAACGACCAGGGATTCAAACTCATCTTTCCTAGGCAGCTGATGCCTAAAACCTCAAAGCTCACCAGCTCACCATCCTTTCTGGGGGGAGCTGTTGACTGCAAGTTCCAGGACACCCGCCTCTTGCCTCTTACCGCAGCCTCCCTGGTAGCAGTGTCCAGCTTGATCATCCTTGTTTTAGCCAGCAGAAGGCAGGAAAAAAAAAAAAACCAATACCACCAAGGCCCTGTACATATATCCCCGAAAGTCCTCAGGGTCTTCTGTGTCCTGCCTTTGCACTCTGGCCTTTCAGAAGGTGGAGCTCTCTACCTGCCTCTCACTCACCGTCCTCTGTAAGAATCCCACCGCCCCCCACCCACGCCTGTATCGAGTCCACTCTCTCCCGTTTCTCACTTCGACCCTGGACCTGCAAGAGTTCCAGTAGTCACCCTTACACAGCAGCTCACGATTACTAAATGACTGTTATTTCTCTGGGTCTCTTTGGACAATTAACCCTTAAGGAGCCGAAAGTTATTAATGCTTTTTTATTTTGAAAAACTCTTTAAGAAACGTGTAAATCAGGCGTGGTGGTGCACGTCTTTAATCTCAGCCCTAGGGAGGCAGAGTGTCAGGAACAAGAAGGTGGTGGGCTGTGGTAGCGCATGCCTTCATCCCAGCACTCAGAAAGCAGAGGCAGGTGAATCTTTGTGAGTTTGAGACCAGCCTGGTCTACAAGAGTGAGTTCCAGGACAGCTAGGACTGTTACACAGAGAAACCCTGTGTCAAAAAAACAGAGAGAGAGACAGAGACAGAGACAGAGACAGAGACAGAGACAGAGAGACAGAGAGAGGAAGACAGGTATGTAGAGTTGGTCAAACAAAAGCTGTTTTATTATGCTGAGGGTCATCAGACAAGGCCCACACTAACTTCCTAAGTCTGTCTCCCCAAGGCTGCCCACCTGTGTACTGTATCTCATCTAGTCGGGTCTAGTCTCTGACAGAAGCCTCTGATTTGAGGCTCAGGACCTTGGGGAGACTCTCCAGCTGCAGGGCAGATCAAAGTGGCGTCTCTCCAGTGTCTTCAGTAGAAGATGCGCAGAACACTGCACTGTTCTTGGTCGCTGCTCATCCACTGGCTAGTGGGCATCATAGGTGGAGTGCAGGTCGTGTGTCTGGTTATTGTGACTAAGTGACATCACTGGGTCATCAGGTGCAGCTAGGGACAGCAAATCTTTGTCCACAAAGAATTATATCTGGGGTTAAGGATGTCGCTCAGTTGGTAGACTGTCTGCCGTGAAGCACTCTGGGTGCTGTCTACAGCACCATATAAACAGGAAATACTGTCGAACACCTAGAGTCTCGAGTCTCGGTGCTTGGGAGGTGGAGGGAAAAGGATTCTAAATTCAAGATCACCCTTAGCTATATAGCAATAGCAACTCCAAAGCCAGTCTTGAGTAAATGAAATCCTGCCTCAAAAACAAAGCGAGGGCCATCACTATGGCTCAGCAGAGAAAGGCACTTGTGACCTTGCCTAATGACCTGAGTGCTGTCCCCACGACCCACTTGCTAGGAGACTGACTCTTAAAGGTTGTCCTCTGGCTTATACACCGGTGCACACACAGAATAAAGCTCTGATTGTGTGCAGTGCTCTGCCTGCATGTGTGCCTGCCCACCAGCGGAGGGCACCAGATCTCAGTACAGATGTTTGTGAACCACCATGTGGGTGTTGGGACTTGAACTCAGGACCTCTGGAACAGGAGCCAGTGCTCTTACCCGCTGAGCCATCTCTCCAGCAACGCTCCGTCTTAAATACAAGGGAAAAGGAGCGCGGCAGCTTGAAGTGCCGGGGACCAGCGTGATGGAGGAGAAAGAGCATGGAAAGATTACAGAGACAAGATTTGGGTGCAGGAATTGAACCCAGGGCTTCAAGCAGGCTCCACATCATTGAGTTACAAGCCGGGCCCCAAACAGGATTTACCCTGAAGCAAATCTGGCTGATAAGCCCCTGTCGTGGGGTATCCACCAGAGAAGACTGCTCAGACATGGATTTAAGCCAATAGAAGTCTCTATTATCCAGCTGTGGATGATACTGGGTGTTCAGGATCCTAGTGTAGGCCTGAGCCTTTCTCAGGGTGAGCTTTTAAGCACAAAACTATCTTCTGGGTTGACACACTGCAGTTAACAAGAACAGTTACCCAGAACAGAACTGTAGAAGCCAAAAAAAGCAAGGTCAGTACATTAGAGACAGAGACGTTCCCAGAACTGTGGACTTGGATGGATTAGGTCTTTGCTTTAGTTTTGGCTGGTGGTGCTGTCTGTGTGTTGAGTTTTACAGCCTGGATGGCACTTCCATCGTGAGATCAGTGGTGCTACGGTCTGGGGGCCTGTTACGACATCCCCTGGCATCTAGGATGGAAAGGAGAGTGGAGTTGTTGAGACGCCCAGCCAGCCTGGTTGGTCAGATAGGGAGGGTGGGGCAATCCGGCCAAACCCAGCAGAACGTTTGTAGAGTCAGACGCGCAGGATTGCAATTCTGCCAGATAATGCAGCCAAACTCCTGCCCAGTGCTCTGAACGTCAAAGAGGGGAAGTTCAGTGTCTCGGGAAACCGTGGGTGTGACAGGAGGGTGTGGTGGCTCCAGGAAGGCAGAGGTGGGGTGGAGCCCTTGTGAGTTGGAGACAGGCACAGTCCTATAGAGAGATCTGTCTCAAAACAAAACAAAACCCAAAACAACAAAAATTAAAGCCAAGTGTGATCTGAATCTGCAGTACTAGCTCTCCAGATCCTAAGATATCAAGGGCTGGAGGTCAGTAGATTATATACAATACTGTCTCAAACCCCAAAAGAGGACTGAAGCTCTACTCAGTTGGTAGAGTCATGCCTGGCATGGTCCCCAGGGCCACACAAACACAAGCCAGGGATGGTGGCACAGGCCCATAGCTGCAACACGCTTAGACAGGACTGTTAGAAGTTCAAGGTCGTCCTTACTAGGGCTACCTCAGGTAGTTTAAAGTTAACCTTGGATAAATGAGACTCTGGTCTCAAAAAAGATAGGGAAAGAAATTCTAAAGCCAGGCGTGGAGGGTCAGGTCTATAAACCCAGCAGCCCAGAAGCTTGGAGGCCAGTTTAGACTACACAGTGAGACACTCTCCAGAAGACCAAAGCCAAGGACCTCTGGGTGTGGTGGCACACACGGGCAATGTAGCATGGGAGAGGTGGATGCTGGAGGGTCAGAAGTTTGAGACTATCCTCGACTATGAAGGGTCTTGAGGAATGCCTGGACTCCATGATTCTCTGTCTCAAGAAAACAAAATACAGCAGAAGTCCATGATTCCACTCGTGAGGAGAGCAAATAATCTCAGTTCTATGATCACAGGAGAGATCTGGGCTAAAGAAAAGGCTCAGCAGTTAAGAGCACTTAAGAGCACTCACTGCTCTCTCGGAGGACCTACTTTCAGACCCCAGAATTCACATGGCCACGCCTGATCACCAGTAACTTTCAGGGATCTGATGCCCTCTTCTGGCCACCAGGGGCTCCTACATGTGCACAGTGCACTTAGATTCACACAAGCTCACACTCATAAATAAAAAAGTATTTTTAAAAATCATTTGAGTTTTTCTAGACAATTTCAAATTTTTACATATACATGGTGCACACCTTTAATCACAGCACTAAGGAAGTAGAGGCAACTGATCTCTGTTGAGTTACAGGACAGCCTAGTCTATATAGGGAGTTACAGGACAGCCTGATCCACATCCTGGTAGCTTTCTGTTAGCTTGAGGCCAACCCAGTCTACATAGTCAGTTCAGGGTAAGCAGTAGGTAAATATTGAGACCTTGACTTAAAAAAAAAAATTTATTTGGTCCTGATGGCACACAGCTGTAATCCCAGCACTCAGGAGGTAGAGGCAGGGGGATTGCTGAGTTCAAAGCCAGCAAAGGATACACAGTAAGACCTGGAACAAAAGTCTAGCTTGTTATGTATATTAGCATGTTAGAGCACAAAGTAGCTAAGATTACCAGGGCTCCACGGTATTAACACAAATATGCGTATTTATGGGGCTATTAAACATGATGGACGTGTCATATTCCAAAGGTCACAGGCCAGAATGGAAGTTTTATTAAAGGAATTACCCGAAGACCATTCCTTCCTCTTCCTCTACCCACACCCGCATTCATCAACTACCATGTCTTCATAATGTCGGAGAATAACATTCTCATCGTTATCTTGATAGAGCATGGAAATGGGGGACAGCTTGGTGGGGATACAGATCGCCTTGGGGACCTTGGGGTCAACCGCGTGCATCAGAGCCTGCATGAACGCATAGTTGGAGCTATTCAAATACGTGGCCATCGAGAAGGGGCAATCTCCATGGCAGTAATTTGCCATGAACCCCTTGGGGGCAATGACCCATTTGTGCCAACCCAAGTCCTGGAAGCTGACGAACAGCTGGTGACGATGGCAGAGATTTTTACAAGACCCCTTGGGGACAGGGATGGCTGCCCTCCTTTTTCTGGAAGAAGGGCGGCAATGGTCAGGGTTGAGGGTCACCACCAGCAGGGAGGCATGAAAAGAACGCCTCAGCCGGCGACAGGTGTTCTCAACCTGGAAATGTTCCCCAGAGTATCTGTCCTCTTTGGCCAGAATCTCTAAGTATAAGCCCAGACTCTTCAGTCGGTTGCCGTTCTGATCCGTAACCACATCCTTCAGGTTGAAGTGCAGAGGACCTTGAGGCCCTGGGACGGACTGCAGCGCGAGCTTTCTGCCTGGTTTAGGGTGGGGTTGCCCCCACACACCGGGCTCCTCAGCCGCCCACAGCACCACCACCACTTCTGGGCCCAGGCTGTAGTAGGACCTGGGCCCCAAGTCCAGAGTCAGCCGGGCCATGGTCAACTTCCCCTTTTCTTTGATAGCAGACAAGTTAAAGTAGAGGAACTTCTGTAGGCAAGAGCCGCCTCGGGAGGGTTTCTGTGTGTTAAGGAAGAAACCTAGAAGCAAAAAGGAACACGTGGGAATCACAATAACCCTTTGTGCTTCAGACCCACCTCTGAGATAAGTGTCAAAGTGCGCATAGATCTGAGTTCTATGCAAACCCTCTTCATTCAAGTCGACTGCTATTCCTCTCAGGAGCTGGCTACCTTGTTAGATAAGATCCCATTGACCTAGAGTTCACCAATCTGGCTAGCGGGACTTGCCAGTGAGCCCCAGGGATCTACCTGTATTTAGTTCCCGAATCCACCTGCCTCTGCCTCCCCAGGGCTGGAAATAAAGATGTGTACCACCACCTCCTGGCTCTCACGCTTTTTTTGAGATGTACATGCAAGTACCTGCAGAGGTCAAGAATTGTCAGGGTCCCTGGAGCTGGAGTTAACGCAGGCGACAGTGAGCTGCCTAATGCGGGTGCTGAGTCTGGGCCACCTTTCCAGCCCCCTCGCCCTCACTGTGATTTTAACTTAAGACCAACTTATGGATAAGAGTGTTCTGCCTTCATGTATGCCTGCGCACCATATACATGTGGGCCCAAGAGGCCAGACCAGGGCGTTGGATCCCCTGGGACTGAAGTCACAGACAACTGAGAGCCATTATTCAGGTGCTGGGAACTGAGCCAGAATCTGCTGAAAGAGCAGAGAGAGCTCTTTACTGCTGAGCCACTTCATAAAGTGTCAACAATGTTCAGCCTCTCACACCTCTCCCGCTATACCGGGAATCCTCCGCTCCCTTTGGCTTAGAATTTCCACAGATTGTCTTGTTTTCATCTAATGAACCCTCTCCCTCCTCTTCCAGCTCCCCGCCCCTTGTTCCCCACACCCCGCCCGGTGACTTTGAGGCTCATCCATGGGAATCCTGTCAGTTCTCTCTTTCAGACCAACCTTGGAGTTTTACTTCTTTTTAACTAATTTTGAGACAGGGCTTCTCTTTGTAGCTCTGGTTGTCCTAGAACTAGCTCTGTAGACCAGGCCAGCCTCGAACTCACAGAGCTTCCCCCACCTCAGCTTCCCACAGTGCTGGAATTAAAGGTGCCCAGCTCTAAAAACCTACATTCTCAAGGCCATTCCCAGGCCAGCTCAGCTCACAGCAGGTATACATTAAATGCTTCAGAGACAAACGCGTAGCCACGTCTTCTCTTCATCTGCCTTGTAACTAACTATACCCTTGGTCTTCGGTGGTGGGTCATGCCTATAATCTAAGCACTTGGGAAGCTGAAACAGGAGGATTGCTGAAGTTTGTGACCAGCCTGGACTGCATAGTTTGTTACAGGTGGAAGTAGTGTCCCAAAAACAAAGAAAGAAAAGAAAAACCAGTAACTAGGAAGGAAGCTAGCTGCGCATGTGAATGCCAAGGTGGAGGCTCAGGAATGTGCTGGTTCAGCCAGCCACTTCCTATTTTGAATAAGAATCAGGTAGGGGAGTGAAGGGCAGACAGCCTTGGCCTGGAAGAATCTACTTTCAAAACAGGTGGCTAGTGTAACTCCATAGGGGGTGAGTTTGAGAAACTGTGAGATGGTAGCCTCTCTGACTTTCATACAAAGAGTGTGATTGTGGCTCAAATTAATATCACTGGTCTGTGTTTTAAAAAATAAAATAAAATTGAACGCCTTTAATGCCAACACTGGGTTGGCAGAGGCAGGCAGATCTCTTGAGTTTAAGGCCACATTCTACAGAGTTCCAGAATAGCGGTGGCTACACAGAGAATCCCCCTTTATCTCCCCCCCCCCCCAGACAGGGTTTCTTTATCCTAGACCTCTCTCCGTAGACAAGACTGGCCTCAAACTCAGAGATCTGCCAGCTTCTGTTTCCTGAGTGCTGGACTTAAGGCTTTTGCCACCATCACCGGGCTGAAAAACCCTGTCCTGAAGAAACCAAAAATAAACAAATAAATAAATAATTAAAGACCAAGAGACTTGCTGGCTTTTAATCCCAACACTCAGTACTTGGGAAGCAGAGGCAGGTGGAGTTTGCTAAGGTCTACATAGCAAGTTCCAGGACAGTCAGAGCTACACAAAAAAGACCTTGCCTCAAAATTAATTAAAAGCAAGACATGCCATTTGCATCCAAGGAAAGTAACAGAGAGGGCTAGAAAGATGTCTGAGTGGTTAAGAGGACCAGAACTCGGTTCACAGCAACCACGCTATTGGGCGGCTCCCAACCTCCTGAAACTTCAGCTCCAGGGGATCCAACCCCCCCCCCACTCTCTGAGAGGCTTGCACAAACACATTTTTAGAGACAGGTGAGAGAGAAGGTGAACGGAGATGGGGGGGTCTACCTTGCATTCAGACACCCCTCTCCCCCCCCCCCAACAGTGAGTTAAACTCTGCTAAGGGCTCAGCAGCGGTTAGAGCAGCTTGGAGAAGCCCCTGGTGACAAGAACACGCACCTTCCCCTGGGTTGATCTTAAAACTGAGACCGAATATTGAAGATTCTAGCTCAGACTCCTATCAGCCAAGGTGCCCAATCTGTCCCCTCTTTCTATCTCCACAGCACCCACTTGAGATTTTTCCCTGACAAACACTAGGGTCCCTTACCCTGGTCTGGGAGAAGCCGAAGCAGGTTCCCACGGACACCCAGCTCCTTCACGTAGCATAAATCCTGCGAGGCCCCACCGGCTTCTCGAGCCTGGAAGATCTTCCTTAAGAAGTGAGGCACAGGTTGGAACCTGCGAGGTGAAGACGTTTTCTCCAGGTCAAAAAACTGCAAAAAGTCATGTTCTTGAAACTTGGATGTCTGGCCCGGTGCCAGACACAACAGGAGGAAGCCGAGAGTCGAAAGCCTCAGGGAAGGCGGCATGGCCGACTGGGTGGTGCGGTGCAACCCCTGGGGAGCTCGGCTTGGTAGTCCAGCCTCCCCTGCTCTCGTCAGCTTGGGAGGTAATTAAGTGTGAATTGCTCTCTTCCCACCTCCCAGGAGGCAATTGGATGTGAAAAGAAGTGGCTAGTATTTCCCCTCCCTCTCTTGCTCTACCCACCTAGAGGGGGTAAAATCGTACCAGTGGGGTCTGTCAGCAACGGACAGAGTAGGTGGGAAAGGAAACACACTCGCTCAACATACAGACATTAATTTGTCTGTGATGCGCAAGGGAGCATGGCAGAGAATAACTTATTATATTGTTTTGTTTTTATTAAATATATGTATCTATTTTTTGAAATGGGACCTCATGTATCCTAGGCTGACCTTCCATCTTTTTTCCCCTTTTAACATTACATCTGTTTGCTTGTTTGTTTATTGCGCACGTGAGTGGGGTATGTGCGCCGCAGTACAGGTGTGGAGCTCAAAGGGTTACTCTCGGGAGTTGGTCTCTCCTTCCATGGGGGTCCCTGTAATCAAGCTTAGGTTATCAGGCTTGGTGGTAAGCACCTTGACCCACTGAGTCATCTTGCCGGCTGGATTTTGAGCTTCTGGTCTAGCCTACATATTACTCCCAGTGCTGGGATTACAGGCTCCTGCCACCAGAATTTAGTTGATAAAATGCATGGTATGGGATCCAGGACGAGCCAGGTAGTGGTGGTGCTCACCTTTAATCCCAGCACTGGGGAGGCAGAAGCAGACAGATCTCTGTGAGTTCGAGGCCAGCCTGAACTACAAAGAGGGTTTCAAGACAGTCAGAGATGTTACACAAACCTGTCTGTTGAGGGGTGGGGGTGGGGGGGTTGGAGGAATACAGGGTCAAGCAGACTGCCCATTAAACTGCATCCCTAGCCCTATAATCCCTTCCTTCCTTCCTTCCTTCCTTCCTTCCTTCCTTCCTTCCTTCCTTCCTTCCCTCCCTCCCTCCCTCCCTCCCTCCCTCCCTCCCTCCTTCCTTCCTTCCTTCCTAAAAAAGAAATGAGTTCTTGTAGGGGGTAATTACAGACCTGTAATCTCAATACTCAAGAAGTGGAGATAGAAAAGTCAAAATACAAGACCAGCTTCAGTTATATAGGAAGTTAGAGGCCATCCTGAGCTACATGAGACCTGTCTCAGAGAGATGGGTATGTGTGGGTGTGGAGGGGTCCTTATTATCTTTTTCAGGGGAGTCATAAAATCCGGGGTTCAGGTAATCCTCCTGCCTCAACCTCACAGAAGAGCTGTGGCCAAGCTATAAATGTGTTGTCATGCTCAGTTCATTTCGATTCTCAGAGTTTGGGCTGGAGGGGTGGCTCGGGGCTTCGCAGCACTTGCTACCCTTCCAGAGGACCCAAGTTTGATTCCTAGAACCCATATCTGGTGGCTCACAACTGTCTGTGACTCCAGCTCCAGGGGTCCTGACACCTCTGGCCACAGCAGACACCTGCACTCATGTACATAATTTAAAACAATAAAAAATAAATCTTAAAAGTGAAGTTTTCTAACTTTATAGCTCGTGGTCTAATGGCACAACACTAGCTGGGAGTGTTGCTGGGCAGTCAACACTCAAGACCCTGCTTTTCAATCCCAACACTGCAAAAAAAAGTTCCTCATTAAGAAAAATGTTGGGGGGGGCACACTCCTTTAATCCCAGCACTCGGGAGGCAGAGGCAGGTGGATCTCCGTGAGTTTGATGCCAGCTTGGTCTACAAGAGCTAGTTCTAGAACAGGCTCCAAAGCTACAGAGAAACCCTGTCTCGGAAACCAAAAAACAAAAAAGAAAGAAAAGAAAAATGTTAGTAATTCCCATTCATCTATAATGACATCTGGCGCCCTCTTCTGGCTGCAGGAAAACATGCAGCTAGAACGCTGAATACATAATAAATCTTTGAAAAATGAAAACCTTTTAAAATCAAAGAAAAGAAAAGAAAAATGTTAGCCAGGCAGTAATGGCATACGCCTTTAATTCCAGCACTCAGGAGGCAGAGGCAGGTGAATCTCTGAGTTCGAGACCAGCTTGGTCTACAAGAGCTAGTTCCAGGACAGGACAGGCTCCAAAGCTAAAGAGAAACCCTGTCTCCAAAAACCAAAAAAAAAAAAAAAAAAAAAAAGTTTTTTGAGGCAAGGTGTGCACCACAACCACCTGACTAAATAAAAGTTAGGGGGCTGGAGAGATGGCTCAGTGGTTAAGAGCACTGACTGTTCTTCCAGAGGTCCTGAGTTCAGTTCCCAGCATCCACGTGGTGGCTTACAACCATCTGTAACGGGGTCTGGTGCCCTCTTCTGGCCTACAGGCAGGATACTGTGTGTGTAAATAAATAAATATATCTTTTTAAAACATGTTTTTTACCAGGCATAGCGATACACACACCTGTAATCCCAGCTGCTCAGGAGGCTGGGATGGGATCAGAAGTTTGGAGTGTATTTCATCTCAGTGAATGCTGTCTCAACCGAAAAGAAAACCAGTACATTTGCCACGGGAATGTTTTGAGGGGCTGAGTCCCGTCTGCTGGTGAGAACGCAGACTCTGTCGATCATTGTGGCGGCGGGAGGGGTGGCGGCTGCGTGGGGGGGTCAGCGAACTCACACACTGCATTTCAGAGAGACAACCAGCATGTGCCTAGAGGAACTCTGTGTGGAGAAGCACAGAATTCTTGACAAGGTGAAAGGGAAGTGTGGACCCAGAAGTGGGAGGACCGAGTACGGCTGCCGCCCCCACGCCTGTCATCCAGACACTCGGGAGGCAAACAAGCGGGTGAACCCGAGTTCAAGGTGGTCCTCTGCTACCTAGCAAGCCCCAGGTCGGGGGTTTTTTGTTGTTGTTTTATTTTAGTTTGGTTTGGTGGTTTTCTGTTTTTTGTTTTGTTTTGTTTATATGTTTGAGACAGGCTCTCACTATGGAGCTTTGGCTAACCTGGAACTGTTTTTGATTTGTTTTATGTATGGAAGTGTTTTTGCCTGCCTCGCCAAAGGAGGTCAGAGGAAGGCATCGAATCCTCTAGAACTGGATTTATATATGGTTGTGAGCTGCCATGTGGGTGCTTGATGGAGGTGGGTCTTGTAATAATAAAGAAACTGCCTCGGCCCTCATAGGACAGAAAATTAGGTAGGCGGAGTAGACAGAAGAGAATGCTGGGAAAAAGAAGCTTAGTGAGAGAGTTGCCATGATTCTCCTGCTCCAGACAGACGCAGGTTAAGATCCTCCCTGGTAAGCCAGCTCGTGGGCTATACAGAATACTAGAAATGGGTTAGAACAATATGTAAGAGCTAGCCAATAAGAAGCTGGAACTAGCCGGGCCAGGCAGTGTTTGAAAGAATACAGTTTCCGTGTAATTATTTCGGGCATAAGCTAGCCATGCGGGTGGCCGGGTGTCGGGGACGGAGCCCCGCTGCTCTTATTTCAACAGGTGCTGGGAACCAAATGGGGTTTTCTACAATAAGTGCTCTTAACCTGAGCTGTTGGGAGCTGTGAACCCCCCAGATCCTGAATTTCTGGTAAACAACTTGCAATGCTTGCAGCTGCTCTGAGCACAAGACCCTCAGGAGTTCCTGATGGCAGGGGAGTGATTTCTGGTGGGTTTGGCTGGAGCGTGCCTATCCCTATATAAGCTGCCCATGGACACAATAAAGGGGGCATTCTTGGGGCATTCTGGCATCAAGGATGACCTGTGCCCCTGTCTGTGAGTCTGTGTGTTTCAATCTCCAGCCCCTTGCCCGGCTCACGGACTGTATGGTAGTTAGTGCATAGAGCGCAGACCAGCGTGGTGCGCTACACTGAGCCATTTCCCGGCACCTTCCTGGAACTTTTGGTGTAGCCCAGGCTAGCTCCTGACTTATGGTGATGCTTTCTGTCTGCCTTCCAGGTCCTGGGATTACCAGAGCACTCTGTCACCCCAGGGGATTTCAGTCTTTGATCCCCCCCCTCCCCGCCTCTGCCAACAAATGACTAAAAAGACTTCAGATCCTGTTGAAAACCTAACTCATTGCCCAGCAAAATCCCAGCAAAATTCTTCAAAGATCTCAAAAGAACGGTACTCAACTTCATTTGAAAAAGCAAAAAAACCCAGGATAGCCTAAACAAGCCTGGGCAATAACTTCTGAAAGCATCACAATCCCTGACTTCAATCTCTACCTCAGAGCTACAGTACTGAAAACAGCCTGGTACTGGCATAAGAACAGACAGGAGGACCAATGGAACCTAATAGAAGACCCGGATATCAATCCACACATCTTTGAACACCTAATATTTGATAAAGAAGCAAAAAATATCAAATGGAAAAAAGAAAAGAAGTGGTGCTGGCATAACCGGATATCAACATGTAGCAGAATGAAAATAGACCCATATCTATCACCATGCACAAAACTCAAGTCCAAATGGATCAAAGACCTCAACATAAAGCCAGCCACACTGAACCTTATAGAAGAGAAAGTGGGAAGTACACTTGAACACATTGGCACAGGGAACCACTTCCTAAATAAACCCAGCAGCACAGACACTGAAAAAAACAATTAATGAATGGGACCTCCTGAAACTGAAAATCTTCTGTAAAGCAAAGGACACAATCAACAAGACAAAACGACAGCCTACAGAATGGGAAAAGATCTTCACTAACCCCACATCAGACAGAGGTCTGATCTCTAAAATATACAAAGAACTCAAGAAATTGAAAACCCAAAGAACACATAATCTAATCAAAAATAATGGAGTACATTATAATAAACAGAACTCTCAACAGAGGAATCTAAAATGGCTGAAAGACACTTAAGGAAATGTTCAACATCCTTAGTCATCAGAGAAATGAAAATCGAAACAACTCTGAGATTCCATCTTACACCTGTAAGGATGGCCAAGATCAAAAACACTGATGACAATTTATGCTTGAGAGGTTGTGGGGAAAAGAGAACACTTCTGCATTGCTGGTGGGAATGCAAGCTGGTACAACCCCTTTGGATGTCAGTGTGGC